ATTCAACATTCTCTGGGGCGCGACGAACTACATCCACCGGGACTTGCGCCGGGCACTTGCAAGACTGACGGGCCTGGTTGATCAGGTCAGCGAAGGCGGCGCGGTCTCGGGGCGGCACGCTGGCGAACCCCCTAGGGTTCCACAAATCGGCGCCGCCTGTGGAATTGCGACTGCGCTGGCGAATAACCGCGAAAACTCCACCGGGCCCCCATGGCGTTGCTCTCGGGCAATCTGACGGGCGCTCTGAAGGACAGGAGTGAGCCATTGAGCTTCTGGCGGCCCAGCATGAGATCCCCCGGGGGCCCAGTACTGCGCCCAAAAAGTGCGCTTAGTCTGAACGAGGAAGACGGGGTCGTCGGTGACCGCCCCAGCGATAACCGGAGCGCCCCATTCTTCGGGGGCAGGGGGCTCGCCCTTGCCAGATCACCAGGTCGACACTCTAGAAAAGCTATTCACGGGAATTCCCACGGTGGCGACGAAAAATCATAAAACACTATGCAGGGGGGTACCAACATCTGGCGGCCGACGCCCCTGACACAAAGTAGGTGGTACAAAAAAACAGGCGGCGAGACATTGCACAAATGAAAGGTGTCACTGAAAAAAAGGACGACGACCGACTCTGCACACACTATGTGTAGTATACGATGCTAGCAAAATAACATATTTGAAAACAAGTATAGAAAACGCATTCACTTTACGCATGTAATAAACAAATGCTTACGCCACTCACGCCACTCACGCCCGACCCGAGCCCGACCCGAGCCCGAGCCCGAGCCCGAGCCCGAGCTCGCCCTCCCTATTATATTCTCCCCCTCTCCTCCTGATACCCATCACACTCATCTCTTGTCCTCCTACTGTGTTCTCCTTCTTCTCCTCCTCCTTTTCCTCCTCCCCCCAGCATCCTCTCCCCCTCCTTATCCACCTCCTCTTCCTGCACCCCCTCCTTCTTCTCCTCCCCCTCCTCCTCCTCCTCCACCTCCTCCTCCTCCTCCTCTCTCCCTCCTCCTCCTCCTCCTCCTCCCTCCTCCTCCTCCTCCTCCTCCTCCTCTTCGTACTCCTACCTGCATCAATGTTTCTGCCCTGTCTTCCTGCTTCTCCATGCCCTTTCCACTCCTTCCCCTCCTCGTCCTCGTTGTCGTCGTCGTCGTCGTCGTTACCATCTCCATTCTCCGCCCCCTCCTCCTCTCCACCTCCTAGTCCTAGTCCGCATCTTCGTAAGATGGCTCCAATGAATCCTCGCCCCCGTTGTCCTCCGCCTCCGCCTCCTCTTCCTCCTCCCCTCGTACTCCCCCTCTTCTTCCTCCTCCTCGTCGTCGTCGTCGTCCTCCATCTCCTCCTCCTCGTCCTCCTCCCCCCTCCTCCTCCTCATTCTCCTGCTCCTTCTCCTCCCTCCTCCTCCTCCTCCTCCCCTCCTCCTCCTCCTCCTCCTCCTCCTCCTCGTCCTCCTCCTCCTCCTCCTCCTCCTCCTCCTCTTCCTCCTCCTCCCCCTCGTAGGTTCGAGCGTCCTTGCCAGCCCGGGCTTCGAATGCTCAAAGAGGACCCAAGAGGCCACCAATGTCGCCCCAAGGCCACCAATATCGCCCCAAAGCGGCCCCCTTCATAACCAGGGGTGATCCTGGCATTTCGGCGGCGGGCGAGCTCGGCCGGAGACCCCGCCACAAACTCGCGGCGGCGGCGGCGGTCCCGAACACTAGGTGCACTTCGCAAAAAAACAGATTCGGCGACGGCGGCCCGCCCAGACACTGGGGGGCGTAGAGGCTTAGTAGACCTGGTGATCTTGCCAGCGGCGTGTCCGATTTTCCCCATCTGCGGATGTCTGCTCAAATCCAACCCTGGATGTCCCTCCGGGATTTCCTTCTCTTCGCTCAGTGGCCAGCGCTACCGAGGATAAGAGCGCGGAGGGAGGCGGCCTGAGAGCGGCCGTTATCTCGCTGCTGCAGGCTGTCGCGGTCGCGGGCGCGGCCGCTGACGACCTGCCACTTGCTGGCGGCGCTGGTCTCCAACCCGCGGCGCGGCTGCGGCGGCGGGGGCGGGCGTCGCCGAAGCTTCCGGCACTGCCCTCTGCGAGGGCGAGGGGGGTCATCTACCTTGGCGCGAGACAACTGCGACTCGAAAGCCCTGCTGACAATAGCAGGCTGGGGGGCGAGCTCGCGGTCAGCATGTGCTTCGCAACGCGGGCGCGCTGAATGTCGCGCATGCCCGTCCACCCCCCCGCCCGGCTGTAATCATGCCCCCGCGCGCGATAAGAACCGCAGTCTTGCACTGGGAGAGGAGAGGGGGGGGGCTTGGACCTGGGCGAGGATCTCTTTCTTAGCAACTTCTCGGATCCAAACTCCTGATGCGCCAAGATGCGGGCTCCGCGGGACTGTCATCTCGGCGCAAAGTTTAACTGACATAGCACGCCCATGGTCTGCGACTGAATGCACGAGCACGCGGTGCCCCTGGGAGCAGGTCCAGGCGCAATTGACTGGGGTGGCGATCTGACCGTGAACCCAGGAAAGCGACTTCACGGTGCGATTAATTAAGTTCCTTTTGGAGGCATGTTCCAGCCTCCCATGGTAAAGAAAGGCAGCTGTACTGTCCGAATGAGAGTGGCGACCTCATGTACGGTGTCCATACTGGCGCGGCTCATGCCCGCGCCCGATATGAGGTAAACTCTGACCATGAATACCCGTATCGCATGTAGTTTGATGACGGCGCTGGTCCACCTAGTACCTGTAAGTAGTGGCTGGGCCCGCTCACGAGCCCCCGTATGCTGTGCATGTGATGATCGGTGTCCCCCAATCCCAGGAAGGACACCAGCCTGGTTGCCCTTGGAGGTCGGGGTGGCGAGGGTGAAGTAAGTCTGCCAGCCTTTCTTCTTGGCGTCTTTTCGAACGAGACCGAACTTGTCTAGGACAATGTTTGTCTCCGCTATAACACAAACGTCGGCCAGAAACGTTCGTCCAGGAACAACTTCTTGGATTTGGCGCTCCATGGAGCGATGTCGAAGGAGGAGGGGCAATAATTCCAACCCTGGCCAGAGAGAAGGGGAGGGAGCGCCAACATCGTGCATGTTGCTCGGGAAGGCCTGCTCAGAAATCACCACAGCCTCTGTCCCCACGAAAAGCACCGTTAGGAACGGGAGGATGCGAAGGAACCCCAGACGCATGCTGCTGATCCCCACCGTCTGCCTGGTCACGCGGAGGGCTCCGACTCCGAACTGGATCGTTGACTGGCGCGGTCTCCGCGCGCGGGTTGCGCTCGGGGCTGGCGCGGCGCCTGCCTGGCGGCCCTGCGCCTGGCCCCTTGGCAGCAGGCGCTGCAGGCCTCTTGGCGGCAGGGGCGGCTGCGGGCTGGGCCGCCGCATGCTGCGGGGGCCCCCTGGCCGCTGCCGCCTGGCCCGGGGCCTCCGCCCACACGGCCTGGCCTTTTCGCCAATGGGGGCGCCTTGGCCTGGGCCTTGGGCAGGCACACCTCGTTGCCCAAGCTGGGGTGGGCGGCGAAGAAGGCCTGCAGCGCGAGCTGGTCGGCCTCCGTGGTCTCGTCGCTGTCGCCGTCGTTGTTGATGATGATGGGATCCGCTGGACCCCGTGGCTGGACCACCTGAGCCCATTCCTCGGTCTTTTTAGCGGCTGCCTCCTTGGCTGCTTGCTGTTGGTTAACTGCGACCGCTGAGTCTGCTTCAGCGTGCTGCAGCTCCTGCTTGAGGCTCTCTCCACCTTGGCGTTGCATTCGTTATTGCATGCTGTGGCGCGCCGCATCGCCCTCTTCGCAAATCCGACGTCATGCGACAGGGCTGGGAGCGCGTCGTTGCTGACCCATTCCTGCTGGTCGGCGGTCATATACTGCTTCTTGAGTGTCTCCAGCTGGGCAGGTCCGAGGAGGCCTTTGAGCGTGCCGCAGATGTTATGCAGCTGCGGGCTGGGCACCTGGGGAGCTCCATCTCCTGTTGGAACATCCTGTGGTCCTTCAGCGTTTCCTGGGTCAGGCGGGTCCCGCACCGAGCGCAGAGCGGGTCCTTCTGAGCACGACTGAGCCACTTCCACTTGCCACCAATGTCGCACACAGCGTTCGTTTTTTTTGTTTTCGTTTTTGTGGTTGCGTCCTCCACGGCCTTGCTTTTGCCGACTGCCACCATAGCGCTGGCCCCACCGGGACATGGCGGAACTGCGGGGTGCGGGCACAAGGTGGCAGGCGAATACCACACGCGAAACCTGGGCCTCTCTGGCCGCCCCTGAGCGAGGTTGGGAAGTTAAGGATGAGTTTTAACCCACCGTTGACCCACTCCTCCTCCTCCTCCTCCTCCTCCTCTTCCTGCTCCTCTTCCTCCTCCTCCGCCTCTTCCTCCTCCTCGTCGTCCCCCTCGACACTTACGCAATATGAATACTACTCTCCTTTCTCCCCAAACGACCCTGAAATCGTAGCCTGCTCCCCTCCGCGTATTGTTTTTTTTGCACGCAGGATCCCCTAAAGGTGGTCAAGCATACGTGCTTGTCAAATCTGAGCGTTTTCGGTGATTTCAGCATGGCGCTCCCGCTAGAGCGCTGCTGGCACAAGTTGCTGGCTCTCGGCACTTCCGAATCATACTCCCGCTGCAGCGCTGCCCTCATTTCTTTGTTGAGGATCTTCCAAATCGTGTTCCCGCTACAGCGTTGGCTCTCGTTCAACGTTACTGTTTGTCTGTGCGTTTTCCAATCAGGATGTTGTCGGTCCTTCCAGAAAAAGGCGATATCGCTTCAGTTTTAACTCCATTTCCGCACTTCCAGCTCTTCCATAATGGCGTTCCCGTCTCATCGTTGGCTCCATTTCCGTGTTCTCGGCCAATTTGGAAAGGAGATCCACGCCGTGGTAAGGGATGGGAGGGAGGAGTATGACGTCAGATATGACGCGAGCGCGCCTAGCTTGTCCCTCTCCCCTCTCCCTCCTCCTCCTCCTCCTCCTCCTCCTCCTCCTCCTCCTCCTCCTCCTCCTCCCTCTCTGGTCCTCCCTCCCTCCCCCTCCTGGAGCTGCCCTCCCGCCTCGGACTCGGCCCTGGCAGACTCGTTCATCTGTCCAGCCTTCTTGGACCGCTCGGCCGCGGCCAGCGCGGAGGCCTTCTTTTTTTCGGCGCCGGGCAGTGGACGAGGAAAGCACGAAGAGGCAGAGCGGATGAGATGTCAGCGACAATGTTGGGGAAATGGGGCAAGTGATGCGGGGCGGACGAGTCGTGCAACGAAACAGGCGTGTTCATTCTAATCCGACGGCTACCGAACTGGAGGACAGGGAGGAGATATCTGCATGCGTTTGCTCTTACCTTGTGCCCCCCGAGACGGAGAAACTGTTTTCGCCGAGACCCCTCGGCCGCCGTTCTGGGCCATGGCGGGGTTGGAAAACGCTGGGCTCGACGACACATTTATAGCAAGGAGGAACCTGACAGCATCAGTTTGCGCCCACTTCAATCGTAGAGGAACAATTGTTCGTCGTCCTCCTCATCCTCCTCCTGCTTCTCCGTCTGATCCTCCTCCGCCTCCGTCTCCGTCCTGTCCCCCGTTCTCTGCATTCCTCCTCTTCTCTTTCCTCCTCTTCCTTCTTCATCCCTATTTCTTTGAAGACTTCTCCTCGTCGCACCAGCAGACGTGTCGGTAGACCGCCCTGGGCGTTTCGCATGAGACCTCCCCACAATGCAGAATCTTAAAAGCATGGAACTTCTGGCAACATCACCAGGTCGACACTCTAGAAAAGCTATTCACGGGAATTCCCACGGTGGCGACGAAAAATCATAAAACACTATGCAGGGGGGTACCAACATCTGGCGGCCGACGCCCCTGACACAAAGTAGGTGGTACAAAAAAACAGGCGGCGAGACATTGCACAAATGAAAGGTGTCACTGAAAAAAAGGACGACGACCGACTCTGCACACACTATGCGTAGTATACGATGCTAGCAAAATAACATATTTGAAAACAAGTATAGAAAACGCATTCACTTACGCATGTAATAAACAAATGCGCACGCCACTCACGCCGCTCACGCCCGACCCGAGCCCGAGCCCGAGCCCGAGCCGAGCCCGAGCCCGAGCTCGCCCTCCCTATTATATTCTCCCCCTCTCCTCCTGATACCCATCACACTCATCTCTTGTCCTCCTACTGTGTTCTCCTTCTTCTCCTCCTCCTTTTCCTCCTCCCCCCAGCATCCCTCCCCCTCCTTATCCACCTCCTCTTCCTGCACCCCCTCCTTCTTCCCTCCTCCTCCTCCTCCTCACCTCCTCCTCCTCCTCCTCCTCCTCCTCCTCCTCCTCCTCCTCCTCCTCCTCCTCCTCCTCCTCCTCCTCCTCTTCGTACTCCTACCTGCATCAATGTTTCTGCCCTGTCTTCCTGCTTCTCCATGCCCTTTCCCCTCCTTCCCCTCCTCGTCCTCGTTGTCGTCGTCGTCGTCGTCGTTACCGTCTCCATTCTCCGCCCCCTCCTCCTCTCCACCTCCTAGTCCTAGTCCGCATCTTCGTAAGATGGCTCCAATGAATCCTCGCCCCCGTTGTCCTCCGCCTCCTCTTCCTCCTCCTCGTACTCCCCCTCTTCTTCCTCCTCCTCGTCGTCGTCGTCGTCCTCCATCTCCTCCTCCTCGTCCTCCTCCCCCCTCCTCCTCTCCCTCCTTCTCCTTCCTCCTCCTCCTCCTCCTCCTCCTCCTCCCCTCCTCCTCCTCCTCGTCCTCCTCCTCCTCCTCCTCCTCCTCCTCTTCCTCCTCCTCCCCCTCGTAGGTTCGAGCGTCCTTGCCAGCCCGGGCTTCGAATGCTGAAAGAGGACCCAAGAGGCCACCAATGTCGCCCCAAGGCCACCAATATCGCCCCAAAGCGGCCCCCTTCATAACCAGGGGTGATCCTGGCATTTCGGCGGCGGGCGAGCTCGGCCGGAGACCCCGCCACAAACTCGCGGCGGCGGCGGCGGTCCCGAACACTAGGTGCACTTCGCAAAAAAACAGATTCGGCGACGGCGGCCCGCCCAGACACTGGGGGGCGTAGAGGCTTAGTAGACCTGGTGATCTGGCAACTACACGGGTAGGAGGGCGGTCCGTTTCCAACATGTGACTCTCGCCCTAGAGCTCGCCAACTCGAACTAGCATATTCAGCAGCTACCCGTATGGGTAGCGGTCGGATCGCACAATCCGCAACTGTATCCATCCCCCTGGCACGTTGAGGCGTAGGAGAATGCCAAGCGCTGTGGTAAGGTTTCTGCATGTCTTCTCGGGCCCCGTCCGCCGCACTCTCGCCCCGCTTCGCAGCATCGCACTCCCCTCCCAGAGCTCCCTGGCCCCGCGCGCCCCTCGGGGCTGGCCGCGGCTCTCTCAGGCTTCCGAGACGGCCCTGGCGGGCCGCCAAGAGAGCTTTATCCTCTTCCACAGCTGTGTGCTGGAGCTCGGACCTCTTTATTTTCGTCGTCGTTTGTTCGTTCGTTCGTTCGTCGTTCGTCCTCCTCCCCCCCTGCCCCAAAATGGAACTCCTGGAGGAAGGAGGCGAAAGCATCATGTCCCTCGCAGCTCCTTGGTGCAAGAGCCAGGCCACGCGTGCCGCTTGTTGTGAGAAGTGGCCGCCTTCCACCCCTGCAGCTGCTGCGCAACGTCAGCTCCTGGTAACATTGCTTGGGGATGTGGCGGGTTCTGGAAACTCTGAGCCCCAAAAGGTTGTCATAGATTGGAAGGCAACTTCTTACTTCCGCCAACTTCTGCCAGTGTTCCGCCAGCTTCCGCCGGCGGAGGCGGCCTCGTTTTACTTCCGCCGCATTCCGCCGACCTTCCGCCGCCATGGCAACTCCTTCGACCCTCGAAGGAGAGGCCCTTTCGGGAACGCCTCATGTGTCAAACGAGGTCCTCATTTCGACAGTGAACACGCCTTTGTCCGTGCAGCTCTTGTTTTTTGGACGGATGTGCGCGGCACCGCGGCGAGAGCCCCATGTGTTAAAACAGAAGCCGCCCTCGCGGCAGATTCGACGAGTCTCGAGCGAAACGCCCAGCAGGGGCTACGGGCACGTCTGGTGGTGCGACAGGAAATCATATTTCGCCGCGCTCTTTGTTCTGAACGCGCCCAAGTAGGCGACGCCGGCACTGCGGCAAGCTAACGGCAAACCTTGCCCCTGAGGCGGGGCTTGCCCTGGTGCCCGCGGCGCCCTTCCCAGGACGCAAGGCCGCGCGTCGGAACAAAACGGCGCGGCCACATATAAAGAAAGGGCATGGAGGAGGATGAAGAGTGCCAGGGGGCAGGCGGGTGAGGATCACGACGAAGAAGGCAGGAGAAGGGCGGCGGACGGACGAGAGCGAAACGAAACGTGAAGATATATTGGGAGAAGGAGGCATCCGGAGGCCCCCAAAGGGGCCAGCAACCTCCAGAAACTTCGATTCCTCGGACATCAAGGAAAAGAACACATGGAGGAGGGGAAGGGGGAGGAGGAAGAGGGAGGAGAAGAAGCAGGAGGAGAAACAGGAGGAGGGGGAGAAAGATGGAGATATTGGTGAAGTATGTATCTCAAAATCCCGATCCCGTGGCAGGAAGGGCGCACCTTGAGGGAGCTGGCCTCGGTGTCCGCCGTGGCCACCTCGGAGGGCTAGAGATGATAGAGGAGGGAGGTACGAGCGGACGGAAGTCCTCCTTGGTCTTCCTCCTCTTCTTCCTCCTCCTCCTCCTCCTCACCAACACCATCTCCACCAGCATCCTCGCAACCACAACCACCACCACAATTCTTATCATCACCGCCGCCACATCCTAGTCGCTATCATGATAATCGTCATCAGCCTCATCATCGTCGCCATCACCATAACCACCACCATCACCACCATCATCACCATCATCACCATCATCATCATCATCATCATCATCGTCCTCGTCGTCATCAGGATCACCATCATCACCATCACTATAACCATCACCACCACCAACACCATCATCATGACAATTACCACAATCACCACCATCATCACCACAACCATCAGCAAAATCATAATCAACAAAGTCCTCACCATCACCATCACCATCGTCATCAGCACCAACATGATCATTACCATCAGCAATGCTACCGCCACCAGTATCCTCAGGATCACGACCATGATCACCATCACCATCACCATGATCATCAGCAACATCATCATCATCATCAACACCATCGTCATCGTATTATCATACTCATCATCGGTTTATTACTACCATCCTGACGAGCATCACCGTCATCGTCCGACTCGTCAACATAACCACCTGTATCATCATCCGCACCACCACCACCACCATCATCATCACCACCACCACCACCACCACCATCATCATCATCATCATCATCATCATCATCATCATCATCATCATCATCATCATCAGCATCATCATCATCATCACCAGCACCATCATCGCTATCGTCATCATCTTCCCCCGCCTCCCTCAAGGAATAGCTCCCCCGCCCCTCCTGCTTCTCCTCCCTGCTCCACCTGTTCCTTCCCTCCCTCCCTCCCTCCCTCCTTTGCCCCCGTAACAACTCTACAGTAAGGTGGCCTCGCAGCGCGGCCGCGGCGCGCGGCCCGCGGAGCGATGGCCCCCAGCCCCTTGCCGTGCGGCGGCGCGTGAGGATGCTGGCCGAGGCGTGGGGAGGGCCCCTCTGCGGAGGAGGGTGGCCCCCCAGGTCCGGGGTCAGCAAGAGCCGCAGACGCGCCGACCGCAGGCTCCGGTTGGCCACACGCCGCCAGGTGGAGCTCGACTGGTGGGGCCTCCCGTGGACGACGATCCAAGAGGAGGCGTGGTGCCAACCGGAGGGGCGTCACATGCGCAGCTACAGTACTGGAATAGCAGCGTGCGAGAAGGGAAAGGCGAAGCCAGAGCCCGACATCGCTAGCCACAGTACGGGCGACAGCGAGTGCGAGAAGTGGAAGGCGACGGCAGGGGACGTGAAGACCTTCTTCCCCCGGCCGCCAGGGGACTGGAGCAGAGCGGGCGAGGCGGCAGGCGGTTCTTTCTTGCCGTCGCAGGTCTTCCCTGGCGTGTGGGAGCCCGTCGCGCCAGAGTACGAGGTTAAGCACAACTCTGCGGGTGCTTGCGAGAAGTGGGAGGCGATGATAGAGCCCGACACGATCAGCTACAGCGCTGGTACCATGGCGTACGACAGGGGAAAGGCGAAGCATAAGCCCGTCATCCCGAGCCACAGCCCTGCGGACAGTGCGTGCGAGAAGTCGGAGGCGACGACAGAGCCCGATACGTACCGCTGCAATGCTGCGATCTGGACGTGCCAGAAGAAGGTGGCGAAGTTAGAGCCCTTTATCCCTAGCCACCGCTCTAGAAGCAGCGCGTGTGAGAAGTTGGAGGCGAAGGTAGAGCCCGACAAGCTCAGCTACAGCGCTGCGATCAGGGCGTGCGAGAAGAGGAAGGCGAAACTGGAGCCTGATAGTATCTCTAGCCATAGCTCTGGGGATAGCGCGTGCGAGAAGTTGGAGGCGAAGGTAGAACCCAACATGTTCAGCAACAGCGTTGCGATCAGGGCGTGCGAGAAGAGGAAGGCGAAACTGGAGCCTGCTAGTATCTCTAGCCACAGCTCTGGGGATAGCGCGTGCGGGAAGTTGGATGCGAAGATAGAGCCCGACGTGACCAGCTACAGCGGTGCGATCAGGGCGTGTGAGAAGAAGAAGGCGAAGATAGAGCCCGTTATCCCTAGCCAGTACTCCTTGTATACCAATTACTCTGGGAACAGCGCGTGTGAGTTGAGGGAGGCGACGATTGAGCCTGACGCGATCAGCTACAGCGCTGGGACCTTTGTGTGTGAAAAGGGTACGGCGAGGGAGCCTTTCGGCGATGGAGTGTTTCAATTTTCGCAGGAGCCCGACGAGGTGGAAGATGTGATCAAGAGGATTCGAGAGGTCAAGGCCGCCGCTATGCGGGCAGAGGCGGCTACGGCTGCGCAGGCGGCAACGGCAGCTGCAGAGGCGGCAGCCAGAGGCCATCATAGAACAGGAGGTGGTTTTCGTGCTGGTGGAGCTGCCTATGAGGACAAAACTCCTCTTCTGGGAGCGCTCTTTCCTCGTGGGGGTGGTGCTGATCATGGTAGTCATGGCGGAGCCGCTCTCGATGGACGGGCGATCGCGGCAGCCCAGCGCGACGAGATCAACAAGATTTGTGCGGAGGCGGGGGCGGCGCTGTCAGCCGTGGCAGCCACGGAGCCTTCCGCCCCATCTGTTGGCATGTCGGGAGCTTTGCCGTCCAACCCTGACTGCAAGCAGATGTGAAGTATTTACTTGGTGTATGGTGGCCTCAGCTTAAGAACCAGTTCGGGGTGGTCCTGTACCCCTTCGGCGTGTTCGTGTACTGAGGGCAGGCCAGGTGTTATGTTTGATTCGCTTCGCGATTGGTCTCATCTCATCTCATCCCCCGTAACAACTCTGGCTCAAGTTCAAGCCCTCCCCTCGGGGTGGTTGTGCTTGCCACAGCCGTGGGCTCAAGGGCACCGTGCGCTTTGGTCGCCAGGCGCAGTGGCGTGGCAGGCGCTCCAGTTCTGAAGATGCTCATCAGCAATGCCGACATCGTGCTGCACGTGCCGCAGGCGCTTCTCAGCGCAGACTTCTGGCGCATCGCTCAATTGTTGGAGGGATTCCGAAAGCAAGGCGCATGCAGCGGCAGCAACGTAATGATCAGTAATGGCCACGAATTTCCCAACATGACCTGGCCGGGGCAGTTTGACCACGGGCAAGGGCGAACTGAAAATCAAGACGTACGAGTGAAAGACCTTGAGCAATGATATGAGCTAAACACGGGGCTACAATCAGAGCAGGCGATCACATACCGCATGTTTTGCGAAGACTTCGAGGTGATCCCCGAGACCGATGAGGCAGAGTTGCATGTGGACGACGAGGGCGAGAATAATGAGGAAACGAGATGCAAGGACATGCACTGGAACTGGCCTGCCTTCCCAACATCCCCGAATTTGCTCTTCCCACCTTCTCCAAGCAGCCGGGGCAGGAGGTCCAGAACGACTTACACGAGCAAGCGGAGGAGGCCACTGCCGGCAGGGGCGGGAGCCCCAGACAGCGCAGCGAAAGCACAAGAGAATGAAGACACACAAGGATGATGAGCAGAATTGGCAGTCCGAGAGCCACCAGGAGACGAAGATGAATGCGCATGAGCATGAGATCGCGCGCGACGTCCCTGCGGTGCCCCGCAGTCCGACGGAGAGCACGCGCTTGGCCAAGGGGCGGCACGCCAGAGAGGCCCAGCAGCGCGACAACTTCGAGGCGAAGGCCATCCGTCTGCGCATGGAGGCCACCGGGAAGCGGGCGAAGCCGTCGTGGGCCCGCGGCCCGCCGAGCCGTGGTCGGGACGGCGATCGGTCCGAGGCCGCGGTCTGGGTAGAGGCAGTGGGGCGCCCAGGGGTTGCGCCCCCGCTGGGGCGGCAGGCGCCAGGATCAGATTTTTTTCTTTCCCCAAAACTATAATCCAGCAATGAAGCAATCCTTGCGGCCATGCCTGAACGGCTGTCGTCGGAATAAAACGTATTTGTAAGTGTGGACTGCGCCGAAGAGGCGATGATGGCAGAACTGGAAGAGCACAGCAGGTCGTGCGCAACAGCGGTTGGTATGAAGAGGAACGCGCACCTGCACGATGCACGCTACCTCCTCGGAAAAACACACACACACACACACACCTCAGAAATCTCACCAGCTAGGTGGCGAGAAAGAACCGTACGGTCGAGACCACGCAGGCGCGGGCCACCGGTTGGGGAGGCCAGCGACCTGGAGGCCACCGCGGCAGCGAACCCAGGCAGGGGCAATAATAGGGGGCAAGGGAACTGGGCAGACCTCAAGGTGCACCAGGAGCTCGTGCGTGCGGCCTCCAATTTCTCCACACATGCCACCCGCCTGTCACTGGAGGAACGCCACTAGCAACTGTGTCCAGAACTTCGTTGCAGATACCGTCCGCATCAGTGTTGTACTCACGGTATATATATATAGAGAGAGAGTTAGATATATTTATATATATATACCGCATTTGAACAGGCTGCACCCCATATACACACATATATATATATATATATATGTGTGTATGTATGTATGTATGTATGTATGTATGTATGTATGTATGTATGTATGTATGTATGTATGTATGTATGTATGTATGTATATATATATATATATATATATATATATATACATATGCCGCGGAACAGGAGCGAGGCCGCCAGGAGTGGACCTGCGCCCCCCATGGGGGCTCCGGGGCTCACTTTCCCTGTGTTTTTACAGGTTTCGGCGTTCCAGGGCTTCCGAGGGAGGCCGCCAGGAGTGGACCTGCGCCCCCCATGGGGGCTCCGGGGCTCACTTTCCTTGTGTTTTTACAAGGTTTCGGCGTTCCAGGGCCTCCGAGGCGGCAGCGGCGACCCCGGACATCTTGTTGACCTTCGGACGGAGGCCCAAAACCAGCCCCAGAGCGCTCCAAGACGGCCCACGACGCCTCCTACACCGCACCAAGACGGCCCCAGAGAGCTCCAAGCGGCCCCCACGACGGCCCAAGAGGGCCCCAAGACGGCACAAGAGGCACCGAAAACGGTCCAAAGGAGTTCCGACACGGACCCCGAGA